GCAGCCCCTTCCACAATGCCTGCCAGCCCTTCCCATGGAGAAATTCCTCCCGATGTCCAACCTGGACGTCCCCCAAAGCATCGTCCCGGGGCACACGGTGGCCAAGCCCACAGTCCCGGGTGGGCTGGGGGCAGGAGCAGCTCCATACCGAGTCCTTCCCTTGGCAGGAGGGAGAGGGACTTGCAGTGACAGCCCCGGAGCAGAGGGAGCCCCCGGCCAGCCCTGGTGTCCCCTGCCTGTGCCGTGCCAGAAGGAGCAGGTGGTGGCAGAAGGACACATCCAGCTCGTTTGCAACAGAACCCGTCTTTATGAGAGTGTTTATCTTCCAACAGCCTTTGATCAGCCTCCCCTGCCACTGCGGGGAAAGGTCAAGGCCATTTGAAACCTCCCTGATTTCGGATTTAATCAATCTCGCCCTGTAATTGCTGCATCCCTCATTAGCTCCCCTGGCCAGGCAGATGCAGGGCCAGGTGCCAGCTGGGAGGGACACGGGGACAGACAAACAGAGCCCCCCTCCCCCCCCCCCCGGGGGATCCCCGGGCAGCTGTGCTGGCAGGGACAGCTGGTGACCCAGCCAGGCTGGCCCTGGGGACACGGCTGACATGGGCTGGGGGGGGCTGGCAGGGCTGGCCCTGCCTGGGGACGGGTGGGTGGCAGTGGGGACACTGAGGCCAGGGGGGCTCTGTGCAGAAGCATCAGCAAAGTCAACTCTCACGCCCCTTCTCCAATGTCACTCAGCCCCAGGCAGCTCCCACCTGCCCCTGCCCGGACCAGCACCAGGAAGGATGAGACCTGTACCCCTAAAATGCATTTTAAACAACAAAAAAAAGGCCCAAATTCTTGTGCAATCTCTCACTAAGGTGAATGAGACATTAAAAGGGGCAGCTCCGGGGAGCCCTGGGGTAGCCAGGACCCAAATCCCTCTGGATTTTATGCCATGAAACTGCCAAGTGGTGTCTGGGGCAGGTAGAAGGGGCACATCCAGAAAGCACCTGGAGATGCCCCAGATGTGCCTCTCGCTGGGCATGGCCCCGGTGTCCCTGCTGTGCCCCCTTCCCGCAGGCTGAGCTCACGGCCGGGCTCTTTCCCAACCCAAATCCATCTGTGTCAAGCTGGGGCGGCGGCTGGAGCCAGCCTGGACTGCGGGATGAGGAATGAGGACATCCAGGGCCATCCCCGAGGACAGGGCAGGGGAGCAGCCCGGGCAGGGTCGGGCCATCCCCCCCCACGAGCTCCTGTCTCCTCTCAGTCCCAGGGCTCAAAGGAGCAGCTTTGTGCTCCTCCGCTGGCTTTGGGCTCGTCCCGAGGGATGGGATGGGACGGGCTGGACCCGCTGCAGGGCTGGGGGGCCACAGAGCTCCACCAGCTGCTCCGAGCAGAAGGGGACACGAGCAGCAGCGTGTGCTGTCACCAGCCCTGACATTTCCAGCTGGAACAAAGCCCTGGCTGCCAAAGCCAGGCTGTTCAGTCCCGATTCATTGCGCAGGACCCTCCGACGAGCCGGGCACAGCGGGCAGAGGCACGGGCAGGAGCCGGGACCTCAGCCCGCCGCTGCCAAAGGCTCGTTAGCGTCGGGGTTCGGCGCTGGGATTGACCGGGAACTGCTGCTCCCGCTGCAGCCCGGCCCCGGCCCCTCCAGAGATCAATAAACTAATTACGGAGGCAAATAACGCCAGGGCGAGAACGGGAGAGGGAGGAAGGAACCGGCTGCAGGGAGGTCTGGCAGGAGCCGGAGCCGGGTGCGGGGTTCCCCCGGGAGAACCCCTGACCCACCGGGACTGCGGAGAGCCCCGGATCCGCGGGGGATGGATGCTGCCCTGGGCGCAGGTGAAGGCGCCAGCGCCTCTCCCTGCCCATCCATCACCGCTGCAGCCGCTGCCCGATTAGATCTGGCAGCCACCAGCCTGGTCCTGCCGCGCCTCGGGGCGCGGGGAGATGGTCCAGACCTGTTTGTCTGGCTAATTAGCGGAGAGCAAAGCCTCCCCCAGCCCAGGCATCCCTGCAGTGGAGCCTGGCAGCCTCCAGCCAGGCGTCGGCAGAGCCACCAAACCACCCGCGGCTGCTGGGGTGGAGATGGGAAGGGGGAAAAGGCAGGGAAAGGGCAGTGCCACTCAAAGGATCCAGGAGAGAGGAGCACCACGGTCATCCCTGCCTGTGCTGGCCCTGTCCCCACGGCCATGAGGGACAGCGAGGTCCCTCTGAGGGCAGGAGTGGGTCTGGGCACGGCAGAGGCAGAGCTGCTTGGGGCCAGCTCTCCAGAGAGAGATGAGCATCTTCAGGAGATGATGAACCTCGGGGATCCTCAGGTTGGCTGCGCTCGGGAGCAAATCCTTCCCTTCCCGACTGCTGTGGAACAGCAGCTGCCCCCCAGTTCCCCTCCACCATCTCACAGCCCAGCCCAGAGAGCTCCAGTCCAACACAGTCTCCCTCATTCCTGCAAAATGCTGGAGATGTCACTGCCTGCCCTCCACGGATCTGGGAGAAAGGCCGGCTCACCCTGTCCCTCCGTTGGCATCCAAACCCGGCTCCTTACAACACTCATTTCCAGGACAGGGGTCGAAAGTGCTGTTTTCCACTGGGACTCTTGCAGAACCTCTGGGAATAGATGGCAGAAAACTTGGAAGGACTTTAAAAACATCTCTGTGGTCACGTAAGCACCGTGCCCCTCTCCCAGGGGTTATTTCGGCCGTGTGGGAAGGGGCCGTGCCTTTCTCCTCTCTCCAGCCCTGCCAGTAAATTGCTTTTCAACACAGTGGATGCTTCCCAGGCAAAAGGACAAAGAGGAGTTTATCTGCCAGCACCAAACCAGCTGCTGGGGTACAGCGTCTCGCCGAACCAGGGACCACCCAGAGACACAGATCAGACTCTACACTGGGCTTTAATTCAACCCTAAATCTAAACAGAATAAAAAAATACGTCTTCAAAAGGCTCAAGGACAGATTCTCAACTCAGCCAGCTGCTGCTGCCCTCCTCCTGGATGGATATCAGCTCCTCAATACACACCGGGCCATCATTTCATTAGTTTTATGGGGGTTTTAATGAAGATCAGATCTGGGTTTAGCCAAGCGAGATTGCTGGCTGGCTTCTCCCAGCTCCCTGGCCCCAGCTTCCCACAGAGGTGGAAGGGAAGGGCTGGGGGTGGCTGGAGCCCTGATGATGCTCTGCTGGCAGCCCCAGCCAGCTGGAAGCACCCCGGGGTCCCTGCACTCCCCCTGCCCCGCCGCTCCATCCCCCTGGCACAGGGAAAGGATGATGCTCAGGACCACACTGGGGGCTGGGAGAAGCCACTGCCAGCCTGGGGTAGTCTCAGTGCCAGGGCAAGGAGGTGAGGGGGGGGTTGGTGCCCAAGGGACCCAGGGAAGGGATGTGGCAGCATCACCTACTCACGGGAGAAATCCAAGGAGGCAGCAGGGGAAATGCACACAGGGAAGGCTGTACCGAGCTCTTCCCACTGCCGAGGGAAGGGCACAGCCAGGGCATCCCTCCTGGGCACAGGAGCCAGCCAAGAGAGGGTAAAACAACGGTGAAAAGGTCACAAGGCATCAAACCCCTCTCCTGTGCCACGCTGGCACGCAGTGCTCCCTCCTGCACAGCGATGGTCCTGAGGGCACGTGCAGCCAACCCTGCCTGGAGCAGCATCCCAGGGATTGACATTCCTCGGGAAACCCCAAAGGGAACACCCACAGATCCTCCGTTCACATCAGCCAAACCATCTCCAGCCCCCCCCTTCCCTCCTCTCACAGTTACTGGGATATTAATTTCCACATCATCTATACCAGAAGGGGTTTTTTCCTGCCTCCTAAAGATTTATGAGGCTGATAACGACTCTCCCTCGTGCTCCAGGACCTGATGTCTTTAGATCTGCCTTGGGACGTGGATGGTGAAGTGCAAACGAGAACCTCCCGCCGCAATCAGCAGCCTCAGCACTGGGCTCTTTGTTCCCAGTCACTCTTAATTTCCTGCTTTCTATTGTCTCTTGGAGAAGTGATGGAAAGGAGGGCAGGAATAGAGATTATTTAATTGCTTTCAAGATCTCAAACAGGCCAGAACAGAGGTTATCTGCCCCAAACCTCTCCTTTTTGGTTTTCCTCCTCCAGTCGTCATCACTGGGTCGCTGCAGAGGGAGAGGCTGTGGCAGGAGCCACCTGTATTGCACCAGTCCCCAGAGACCCCAAATATTTTGACATCTCCTTCCCACCTCTGCCAGGTGTGAGGAGCAGCAAGGACCTGCCTTGGCTTGTCTTTGGAGGCAAGGTGAAAAATCCTGGGGTCAAGGCACGCTCAGCTTCCCGGGAGACTTTGGGAGGACTTCACTGGGGTCATGGCATGGCCATCATGCTGCCATCACCCCGTCCATCTCCTGGTGGCCCTGGAGGCATCAGGAGAAGCCAAGCCAAGGGCTGGAACCAAAATGTTGCTCCTACAGCAGGAGCCAGTCAGTGAGGCCACGGCTGTGTCGGGAGAAGGAGCCAAGGGGTCCTGCAGGATGTTTCCATCTGGAAGCCCCGTGAATCCAGGCAGGTCCCACCAGGATCTAGGGGAATCAGGGTCCCTACACATGTCCCTGGGCCTCTGGTTCGGGCACCCTCTGCCACGCACCAATAGCCTCTGAGAGCAGGAGAGGCTCCAGTGCCGGGCACGCAGCACCCAGAGCTGGGGAGATTCCCGGCTGGGCTCGCCGGGGGGGGGCTGGCAGGGCTGTGGGCAGGGTGGGCACCGCGGGACAGGGAACGCGGGCAGCGTGGGCAAAGGTGGGCAGCGCAGGGTGGGCAGCGCAGGGCGGTGCGGGCTGTCCCCGCCCCGGCCCCGCAGAGCCGCCCCGCGCGGGGCGGGGCGCAGCCGGTGCTGGTCCAGCGGCGGAGCCGCGCCGGGAGCGGGTGCGCGGAGCCGCGCGGAGCGGTGCGGGGCTGTGCGGGGCCGGGCAGGGCCGAGCCGAGCGGAGCCGAGCGGAACCGAGCGGGGCGCGGGCGCTGCCGGTGCCTCCCCGGTGCCCGCGGGGCCGGGGCGGGCGGCGGCGGCGGGAGCAGGTGAGCGGCGGGACAACCCCGCACGGTGCCCCCCGGGCAGCGGAGCGATGGGTCGGGGGGTGGGGGCTCCCCTGCCCCGAGCTGGTCGCCCAGCGGGGCCGTCCGGGCTCGGGGTGCCGGTCCCGGCTGGGAGGGAAGGGGCTGGCGGCCGCAGAACGGCCGGGCGGCAGGGAGGGGTTTCCACCGGCGCTCGGTGCTCCCCGGACATCAGTTGCGCCCACCGGGTCACGCCGGTTAGAGATGGGGGGTCGTGAGAGGGCTCCGATGCCGCCAGAGACAGGAGGAGCTGTGGCGTGTCCGCACTGATCTCTCGGGGAGGGGAAGCTCTCTGCTGGGAGCACCTCTGCCACGGAGCTTGGCAGCAGGGTGGGCAGATGCTCCCCAGGAATCCCTTCATTTCTGTTTACTCTCTGATTTCTAGAATCTTCTCCTCTACCCCCCAGAGCAAGGGAGGATGACACCTCAGCTCCTCTGAGCCAGCAGTGCCCAGGGACCGGCAGAGCCATGGAGCTGGAAGACGAGCAGCCCAACACCACTGCCTTCTGGTTCTCCCCGGCTTCCCCCTTCGACAACTTCTCCCTGGAGGCTCCCACCAACACCTCACAGAACTCCACGGGCCACCACTTCGACCTGACCAGCAATGCCATCCTCACCTTCATCTACTTCGTGGTCTGCATCGTCGGGCTGTGCGGGAACACGCTGGTCATCTACGTCATCCTCCGCTACGCCAAGATGAAAACCATCACCAACATCTACATCCTCAACCTGGCCATCGCCGACGAGCTGTTCATGCTGGGGCTGCCCTTCCTGGCCATGCAGGTGGCCCTGGTGCACTGGCCCTTCGGCAAAGCCCTCTGCAGAATTGTCATGACGGTGGATGGGATCAACCAGTTCACCAGCATCTTCTGCCTGACGGTTATGAGCGTCGACCGGTACCTGGCTGTCGTCCACCCCATTAAATCTGCCAAGTGGAGGCGGCCCAGGACAGCCAAAATGATCAATGTGGCCGTTTGGGGCGTCTCCCTGCTGGTGATCATGCCCATCATGATTTATGCTGGGGTGCAGCACAACCACGGCAGGAGTAGCTGCACCATCATCTGGCCGGGAGAGTCGGGCGCCTGGTACACGGGTTTCATCATCTACGCCTTCATCCTGGGCTTCCTGGTGCCTCTTACCATTATCTGCCTTTGCTACCTGTTCATCATCATCAAAGTCAAGTCCTCGGGCATCAGAGTGGGCTCCTCCAAGAGGAAAAAGTCCGAGAAGAAAGTCACCAGGATGGTCTCCATCGTGGTCGCCGTCTTCATCTTCTGCTGGCTCCCCTTCTACATCTTCAACGTCTCCTCGGTCTCCATCATGATCGTGCCCACTCCTGTCCTCAAGGGCATGTTCGACTTCGTGGTGGTCCTCAGCTACGCCAACAGCTGTGCCAACCCCATCCTTTACGCCTTCCTGTCCGACAACTTCAAGAAGAGCTTTCAGAACGTGCTGTGCCTGGTGAAGGTCAGCGGCATGGACGAGGCGGACCGGAGCGACAGCAAGCAGGACAAATCCAGGCTCAACGAGACCACGGAGACCCAGAGGACCCTGCTCAACGGAGACCTGCAGACGAGCATCTGAGGGGACGGCGGGGTTGTCCTTCCTGCGCTCTCCTCTCCCCCGCTTGCTCCCAGCAGGGTGGTGGCACGTGTGGAGTCGGGGCAGGAATGCCAGCTGAGGGGAGGGCAGTGAGCACCCCCTGGGCGCTGGGTCCTGGGCTGGGCTCCTCCTGAGCTCTGCTGGGTTGGCTTTCAAGCACTGGGAAGGATATGGATCGAGAGGAGCTGCCTCACCAGGAAAACAAAGACAACTCACGGCGACGCAGCGCGTTTCAGCACCAAAGTGCCACCGTGGCCACAAGTGTCACTGGGGTGGCTCCGCTGGCTCCCTCTTGTCACCCTCGGGGCTGCTTGGCTTTGGGGCTCTGCCTCTGCTCGGGTGGGTGCACATGGACACAGGGGGTGACCTCAGGAGGAGCCGAGGCCACGGGTGTGTGATAACATGGAGATGCACTGACCTGGTGGGAGCTGCCGGCGAGCTCCTGCCATCGCCCTCCCCAGGAGACGAGGATGTTTGTTGGGGTTGTGTTTTGCCTGGGTTATCAGTTCCTCCATTGCCCCCCCAGAAGCCTCCCTGCGCTGGGTGACCGCACTGCTGGCAGCAGCCGCCCCGCCCGGAGGGGACACTCCAGGATGGAGGCGACTTCCCCACGGGAAGCAGCTCTGTCACCTCGGCAGCCCCTCTGGTCCCACCACGCTCCTGCCCTGCCTCCTGCAGCCCTGCCATCTCCCGCTGCAGGAGAGCCCTCTCCTTCCTCCTGCCGTGACATCACCTGCCCGCAGATTTTCTCCTCGGATGGAGGATTTTCCCCCCTTTTCCCTCCCCGGTGGCCGCTGCCCCCTCCCACCACCCGCATCGGTCCCACGCTGCGCCGGCTGCCGGGATCGGGATCGCCGCTCCGAGCAGCCCGGCAGGACCGCCCAGCTCCGGCCCCTGCTGGGAAATCCTTGGAAGTATTTAAGCAGCAGCGACACGTCGGGGGGTTTGGAGTACCTTTGGCACGGGCTCCTGCACCTGGCTGAGATCTGGCTTTGTCCGGCCCCGGCTCCGAGGATCCCTGGGGTGACGCCTGCCCTGCTCCTTCCAGGCAAGTCACGCTGGAGACTGGGGTGATGGAGAGGACGAGGGACGGGAGGTGGGGGGTGCTGGGGGCTTGGCCCCCACCCCACCCGAGCCAAAGGGACCGGGCAGAGCAGACAAGAGGGCTTCCAGCACCTGGGAACGAGGAAGAGGAGGGCAGCACATGACCAGCCCCCTGGACCCTGCACAGGGTGAAGGGTGGTGGGACTGACCCATCATCTGCTGTATTTGGCTTCCCAGGACTGTCCTGGAGCGCTGGGCTCTGTCCCTGTCTGCCCTCCCAGCTGAGCACAGCCCGGGGCTCCGGAGCCCTGACCCCCGGCAAAGCCCCTCCTCGGCCAGCGCAGCAGGAACGCGAGGGAAAGCCCAGGGGAGAGGGAGAAGGGAGAGGGAGAAGTGCCGTCTTCCTGCCGGAGCACCCGGAGCAGCCTCTGTGCCAGAGGCCAGGGCTGTTCACAGGCTCTTGCTCCAGAGCTGAGCCGTGGGAACGCGGGGGTTTAGGTGGAGAAAACGGCCGGGTCTCGCTCACCCTCCCCTTTCTGGGCTCCCCCTCATCGGGGGATGCAGAGCCTTCACCTGGCACCACAGTCAGTGCAGGGGGTGAGGGTGAGCATTGCCCACGAGGTGCCACCTGCTTTGTGGTGCCACCTTGCTCAGCCACACACCCCCGGTCGATTCTCTGAGAGCACCACCTCTGGGAGAAGTTTTCCCACGGCTCTGCCCAGCTCCTGCAGCAAGAACCTGCTCGGGGCATCACATCCTGCTGTGCCAGGCCCACCAGCTCCCCGAAGAGGGCTCAGTGCCAGGCTGGGTACCCGCTCCCCGCCTCTGCTGGACACAGCACAGGGCTCAGGGGTTTTCTGCCAGACAAAGCAGAGCCTTGTCAGCATTTCTTTGCTTTTAACCATTTCCTGCTCCCCCGAGGAACGCGTGGCACTGCTCAAGTGCTCAGAGGCACCGCGTGGGCACCTCCCTGTCCCCTGGCTGGGCACCGAGCGCGTCCCAGCGCCGCTGAGGGGGGGAGGAAAGCCGAGCCCAGGTTCCCTGCTGATGCTGCAGGAATTAAAACACCAGCAGCAGGTTGTGCCATGGGGAAATACGGGCTGGGGGTGGCTGGGAGCAGCAGAGCCCATGCTGGGCTGAGGATCTGTGTCACAGCCGCAGTGATGCGTCAGTGGGGCCGTGGGCATTCCGTGCTGGGTGGGTGGGGAAGGAGGTGTCTGTGTGTGTGTGGGGGGGGGGGATGAGATAGGAAGGGGGGTGTGGAGCCCCCAGCACTCACCTGCAGCGGGGCCAGACCCAGATTTGCCAGTGACCGACTTGTCCATGCAGTCCCTGCCATCGAAATCCCAGTGGATGGGGGGGGAGACACCTGTTCCCAGTTGTACCCCACAGCTGGGAGCACCCCCTCTCTGTGCTGGTTTAAGGTTGGAATGCAGGGAGCCTGGCTTCCTAGCCCTGGGAAGGACCCATGCCCAGGTCAGCTTTGTCCTGGCAAACTCCCCAGGCAGTGACACTCCCGGCAGCTCAGAGCTGTGATCCGAAATAATTTCCCCTCTTTGCGCTCGGGGACTCTCCTGAGATGGGGATAATGGAGCTGCAGGTGAGGAACGAGGGGCATGGAGCTCTGCCACCAACATCCCAAGGGCCACCAAGGTGGGATGTGCCAGGGCAGGGGCACAATGTGGCTCCCGGGAGCTGCCAGGACTGCCCACAGCCACCTTTCCACAGATCAACAGGGAAAAAGGGCAGGAGAGAGGAACATGCCCCCTTGGAGTGCCTGGGGAGGGAGCCAACAGCCACGGCCTAGCGCTCGCAGTAAAACCAGCAAAATAAAACCAGCAAAATAAAACCTTCTGCTGGTTCACTGCTGACTAATAAACATCAGCACCGCTGCTGCTGCCAGTAATGAAGTTTTCCTTCCCAGCCACTTGATTTTAGTGGGAACTTGACCTCATATTGGATCTGCTCTGCAAAGCCTCACGGGGCTGTCGGAGGCACGATGAGAAACCTCTGCTGGTTATCGCAGAGCCAACAGACTGAGCCCCAGAGTGCTTCACACACAGACTGCCCCCGGGCAGGAGGGATTAGTGACAGCTCCCGCCTGGAGGGGCGGGAACAGCATTAACACAGACCAGAGGTGATGGGAAGCACAGCCCTGGGTGTTCCATAAGCTCTCCTGGATGCCGGGAGCAGGGATCTGGGATCCAGGATCCATCCCTGTTTGTGTGATGATGCTGCCTCACCCGGGGGGTTTGCAGTGGGTCGGTCCTGCAAGAGACTTCCAGTCCCATCACGGGCTGAGCATCATCCCAGCTGCTCCCACATTATCCCAGCTGCTCCCACCTGTGCCCACCTGGCTCTGGGTGCTGTGGTGGCCAGTGCCTCTGGGTGCTCCGTAGCCAAACCCCACTCAGGTGGGCGGGAGAAGCTGGGGCTGGACCTGGAGCCTTCCTCTTGCATCCCTACAGCTCCTCACATCAGCACCAGCGCTGCCTTGGACTTGTTTAAGGTAACCATCTCCTAAGGACCCGCATTGCCGTGTCTCCAGAGGGCTTCCCGACTCTGGCACAGTGGGAAGAGCCTTGTCTTTGATGGAGGCTCCCCAGAGAGGTCCCTTCCTTCCCAGGCCAGCCTCATGGTCCCCGTGCAGCTCTGTCCCAGCAGGGAGAGCTCCCAGGCTCGGATCTGTGCCACTGCCTTGGAGTGGCTCCACTCTCATATCTTGGGGGGTTCTTCCAGCCCCTGCTGTGAACGAGCCGATTTCAAACCCCTCAGGGAGAGTCTCCATCCCCTGCTCCAGGGCTGCTCCAAGGGGGAATCACCACCAAGGCATGAGCAGAGGGCACAGCAGACCCCAAACCTGCCTTCCCCCTGCTGAGTCTGGAACAGGAACTGGTGCTTTCCGACCCCAGGACACCTCTGCTCTGAATCCCAGCCTAGCACCTGCATCTCCTGGTGGATTTCAACCCCATTCCCTACCTGCTCCAGGACCTGGACTGCAAAAAGCCAGGGCAGGAGGAGAGCCAGGCTGTGGGGATCCTGCCTGGAGCCGTGTCCTGCCCAGGAGACGCCGAGGGATGCAAAGCCTGGACACTGCATCCATCCTGCCCCAGGCTGTGTGTGCAGGAGGAGGGGTGGGATGGGGGATTGTACATACCTGTATATAGTGGACATGCCCGAGGGGTTATTCTGTACCCTGACACAGCCCCTTGGAGGGCCCCTGGCTCCCCTCACCCTCTCCCTGTGCCGTGGGGCTGGTGGCACCGTGCACAGCCAGGAGGGATCCCAGAGGCTGCTCCCACACTGACGGGTGACTTCTGCCTCTGCTAAACCCAACAGCCCTTCCCTGCCCAGCCGGGGCCCCACCAGCCATCCAGGGTCCCACCCCCTGTCCATGCCATGCTGTGCTCTGGAAGTGCCCATGGATCTGTTGTGCCTGGGACACACTGAGGGCGTGTCCCTGGTCCCAGCCCCACTGTTCTCCCCCACAGTCATTCCTCGGTGTCCTGGGTGGGACTGAGCCTTCCCACTGCAAAGGCTCCCAACTGCCACGGTCTGTGCCACAGGGAGGGGGTTCTGGATGGGGGGGAGGGAAGTAAAAGAGTTTTCCTACAGTTTCTGGATGTGTGTGTGTGTGTGTGTGTGTGTGTGTGTGTGTGTCGGAGCTGGGGGGAGCAGCAGGATGTGACCCAGGCTTGGACACCTCCCTGGGAGACAATCACAGAATCGCTGAGGTTGGAAAAACCTCCTGAGACCATCGAGTCCAACCATCCCCCAGCACTGCCAAGGCCACCACTCGCCCATGTCCCCAAGAGCCACATCCACATGGCTCTGAAATCCCTCCAGGGATGGGGACTCCACCACTGCCCTGGGCAGCTGTGCCAGGGCTGGACAGCCCTTTCAGGGAAGAAATTTTCCCAATATCCAACCTGACCCTCCCCTGGCACAGCTGGAGGTCATCTCCTGTCATCCCGTCCCTTGTTCCCTGGGAGCAGAGCCTGACCCTTCCCAGCTCCCCCCTCCTGTCAGGGGGTTGCAGAGCCAGAAGGTCCCCCCTGAGCCTCCTTTGCTCCAGGCTGAGCCCCCCCAGCTCTCTCAGCTGCTCCTGGTGCTCCAGCCCCTTCCCAGCTCCGTTCCCTTCCCTGGACACCAAAACCAGGCACCAATCCTGGAGTCCCACCAAGACAGAAAAGGAGCAACCAGTTCTTCCCCACATCCATCTCCATGAAACATCACCACAAACAGGCACGAGGGGTCTCAGAGACTCAGGGTGAGCAGCTGGACAGGAGAAGCTTCTCTTCCCAGGGTGGCAACACCTCTGGGCTGGATTTGGTGAGATCAAGGGTGTGTAAAGTGCTGGGGGGTCGATCTGCTGGAGAAACCAGCCCTGGGAGGAGTGTGTGTGCTGGGAGAGGAGGAAAACACGCCGGTGTAAAGAGATTGACTCCGCCATAAACCAGAATTTTATCAACTCCTAGAGACTGAAATTTTATAAACTGAAAGTTTGTCTCTGAACAGCTGCACAGCCCAGCAACATCACCACTTACCGTGCAAATAAAACAAATAACTCCAAAAAAAACCCTTGACTTTTTTTTTCTTCCCATTCTAACTTCCAACACCAAAGGGGTTTTATGGGATTTGAGCACAACGAGACCACACAACCTGGTTACTCCAGCATCTCCCATGGTTACTCCATGGGAGTTACTCCTGGTTACTCCAGTATCTCTCCTGCCCGGCTGGAAGGACCCTTAAAGCTCATCCAGTCCCAAACTCCTGCCATGGGCAGGGACACCTTCCACCAGCCCAGGTTGCTCCAAGCCCCGTCCATCCCGGATGGATTTTGGGGGGATATCCCGGCGCTCAGAGCGGGGCTGTTTGTACCGAGCCCTCCCCAAACCCAAACGGCCCCTCCCGGGGTGTGTGGAGCGAGAGCGGCACCCTCAGGCCGCGGGGCCCGGCCCCGTTTGCCGGAGAAACGGGCAAGAGAATAATTAAATAAATAAGCAGATAAATAAATAAATAAAATAAACAACGCGATGTTTCCCCCCCCGCGCGTCGCCATGGCGACGCGGCTCTGCCCGGCACAAAGATGGCGGCGGCGCCTCCATGGTAACGACGTGCGGGCGAAGCTCTGCCCGGCTCAAAGATGGCGGCGGGAGCGCAGCCATGGAAACGGTGCCTGGGTGCGGTTCTGCCCGGATCAAAGATGGCGGCGCCGCCCCGCCAGCGCGGCCCGGAAGTATCGGCCCCTTCCCGTGACCAAGATGGCGGCGGCGGCGCCCCCGCCGGGCCCGGCCGGGCCCGGGGCGATGGCGGCGATGGCGGCGCGGGGCGCCGAGGCCGAGGCGCTGTTCGAGGCCCACACGGCGGCCGAGCTGCGGGCGGTGGAGCGGCGGCTGCGCGCCGGCATCGAGCAGAAGCGGGAGGAGCTGCGGCAGATGGTGGGCGAGCGCTACCGCGACCTCATCGAGGCGGCCGACACCATCGCCGAGATGCGGCGCAGCGCCGAGCGCCTGCTGGGCGCCGTGCGGGGGCTGCAGCGGGGCGGCTCGGCCCGGCCCGACCCCCCAGCCACGGTGAGGGGCGAGGGGGGCGGCCCCGGGGCGGCCATCGCCCCTTCTTGCCCTCCTCCATCACCCCTTGTTCTCCCCCTCCATCAGCCCTTCTTCCCCCCCCAGCCCCTCCCTCTTCTCCCCCTTCTCACCCCTTTTTCCTCCCCTTCTTCCACTGTCATCCCATTCCCTCCCCCTTTTCACCCCTTCATCCCCTCCTCTCCCCCTCCATCTCCTTTTGGGTCCTTTTACATAATTTTGAGGTCCTTGTCCCATTTTTGGGGTCCCTGTCCCATTCGGGGGGGGTCCACGTTCCCACTTTTGGCATCCCTGTCCCATTTCTTGGGTTCTTGACCTGTTTTGGGGGTCCCTGTCCCGTTTCTTGGGGTCCCTGACATGTTTGGGAGTCCCTGACCCATTTCTGGGGTCCGAATTTCCTCTTCTCCCCTTCTTTTGCCCCACCCACCCACCCTCTCTGTCCCCTCTCTCCCCCCAGGTGACCCCCCCGGCCCAGCGCGGGTTCTATGGGGCGGCGGCTCAGCTGAAGCTGCTGCTGGAGGTGCCGGAGCAGGTCTGGGGGGCGGTGGAAGGGGGTCGGTACCTCCCGGCCGCCCGGCTCCACCTGCTGGGTGCCCACCTGCGCCGG